AGGAGAGGGTAGGATGGTTACGTGGAATAGTTGGTTGGAAAGAAATGGGAGAACTTTTTTGGTGGAGCTTTGGGTAAAAAAAAAAAAAAAAGCATTTTTTGTTCATTGCTTCTATACTTGGAAGTGTAGTCTTTTTGATAGATAGCTTTCTTATCATTTTTATTTATCCCGATTTTGTTTTTTTGGCTTTCTTAAGGTAAGTACTTTTATCATACATACCCAGGGATTAATATGGTTATATATTAAGGGTGTGTTTGGGAGTGATTTTAGCATGGTCAAAATCATTTTTGTTATTGTTAAATTCATTTTTAGCATGGTCAAATTAAAAAATTGATTTTAAAAGAGTTTAAAATCACTTTAAATTGATTTTTAAGATATCACTTGGATGGTGATTTTGAAAATCAATTATACTTGAATTTCTCTTTTCAAAATCGATTATCCTACTACCACTCTCAAACACACCGTGACAATATTCTAAAAAGCATTTCCTGGCTTGAGACACATCAATTTGGAAGGTACGAGGTGGAGAGTGTTTGATGTCAAAGGCCATGTTTGAATGTAGTATTTGACTCTTCACTTGGCATTGATTGCTTTCGCAAGATTTTAGAGATAATATGACCAACGATAGCAATTTACTAGAAATAAATATAACGTTAGAACATAAAGAGATTTAGATGAAAAAGACTAAATCGAGTCTACGTAAAACTTTTGACAAAATTTTTTGAATATGTTTTAACAATTTCATTATGCTCCAATGAGTACATGTCTGAGTTCAAAGTTGTGTTAACGCGAGTATACGATGTAACATCCAGGTCATGCTGTAATTGCTTCCAAGGTAGTGGTCTTATCCACGCTACAACAACATTCTTTTTCATCTAAATCTTCCTTATGTGTTGCTTTGTCCACAGAATCTCATATTTTGTTTTCAACTTTGGTGGGTTGTAGGTATGTTGGCAACCTCAAGGAAAGAAGTTTGAAGGATCAGTTGGCCAAACCTACAGAAGTCATTTGGAAAGCTCTATTGTGCATGCTTCCAAGAAACAAACTGTGATGTGTGTTTGAATTAGCTTCACTTGCTGATAGAATCTCACGACCGCCCGCTCGAGCCTCGTAACGTAAGATAGCTGCATTCTCGTGTAAGACGAACCATGATTCGAGCACAGATAAAAGACTGAACAACAAACAAACGGCAACAATGAGTCAAGGAAAAGTAGAAAGAAAGAAGAGAAGGTAGAAGTAATTGCATAATAGGAGTGGATTCTTTGAGTTCTAATGGAGTTTGTGTGGATGGTTAATTAGCCATTTTTTCTTTTATTTTATTTGAAATGTCATGTTGTTCCAAGTTTGGATTTCCATGAGATGTCACTCGATAATTGGGTTCGTTGTCTAGGCTGAACAACACTGTGAGCAGCGCAGGGCTTGATCAATCCAAGACCTTATAGCCCCTGTGCCATCCCAGGAGACTTTCCATAGAAACTTATTAAACTCATGGGGAATTAACCAATCTTTTGTAGCTATTTTTTTGCTTAAGATTCAATTAATTCAAGTTGAGCTTAATTAGGTCTTATAAACCTTGAGTTAAACGTGCATCACACAAGATTATGTAGCTTTTATGGATGAATGGTGAAGTCATGAGAGTGCCAAATAAGAGCAAAAATAATAGTTCAAATTCAAAAAAGTAGTTGTAAGTATGTAAAAGGTAGAATACACCATTGTTTGATAATTCCTCTAATTATTTCCTACAATATCTAGATTTATCCACTTAACGATAAAAGATGAAAAATAATAAAATTAAAAATCACAAAAACCAAAAAAACTTCTTTCTAATTATTTGGTTGATTTTTTTTTCTACCGAATGTAAGACTAAAAATTATAAGAATGAGGCCAAAGTCAGCATAGCTCAGTTCAATCTCCCACCTCCACACATATTGTTCTAAAAAATATATATATTATAAGAGTGAGAATTTTTTTTACAATATATTGGGGAGGAGATTCAAACTCACAACCTCTTAATTTGAGGTATATGTCAACTATTGCTAAGCTACGCTCGTTTTGACATAAGAGTGAGAATTTGGTTATTAATGCCTTGACAAACTATTAAGAGAATTATTCATATGGACAAAGTTTTTTTTTTTTGGTTGATTTAGGTTAGGTTTTTTGTCTTTCTTTATGCATAGGAGAGAAGGCAAATTAGTAATTACAAATTATAGTCAAAATATTTCACAAGTCTTGGATTCTGTTTCTCCCACATCGAAAGGAAATAGAAGGTTGTTCTTCTTTATTGATGTATTTGAACCAAAAGTCATCGCCGAGTTTGGTTGCACAAGCTTGTGACCCGAGTGGGGGCGTTAAAGTGATGGAATGGAGGTTTACTCTAGTTGGGTCGGATCCGATGTGAGTTCAATCTGGCCCACCCGTTTCAAGCAAAGAGCCAAGCCAAGGGGCTTGGGCGAAGGCCCACAGCTTCATGGTGTTCTAAAGTGGAGGGGAAAGCGTGAGGCTGGTTTCACAGAACAGCGAGCACCTCCCGTTCCTTGTAGTGAAAGGATACTCGGCCGTGTCTATTGGATCCAATATGACTCGTTAGTGTGTCCCGCCAAACCATCATTTTTATTTCTAAGTCGGGCAAATATTTACCGTCAAGGTTCATGTTGGCATATCCTTCCTACTCACATATAAGTTTTTGTATTATTCTTAAATATTATTGACATTATTAGAAATAAATAATATCATAACATGGAAAAGAAAAAAAAATCAAACCACCTTATCTTTTTTTCTTTTCCTTTTTTTTTTGAAGAAATAGAAATTTAAGTAGGATGGAAAATGGTAATTAGCAATGGGTTAAGATCATGAGAGGTTGGCATATGATTCATGATTAACATCTACAAAGGGTTCCTTTATTTCTTTAACCTTTAAAAAGTACCATCAATCATGACTAAAAAAATGAGATGTCTATGGGAATACGTTGATGGGCAAAATAAACTTCTTGGTTTACGAAGTTTGAAGTAGGTATTGATTATTTTGCAATACTATGAAGATGTCGATTTACCTCTCATGTCGATGTCGAACTCATGGACACATGAAAATGTCGAATATTGACGGAAATTTAATACCATGATTGGGATTAACCAATCCTTTTTCGAGATTTGTAGTTTTTGCTTAAGAATAAATTAAATCAAGTTTTGTTGAATAAGGTTCTATAAACCTCGAGTTAAAGGTGCTATCACACAAGATTTCGTAGCTTTTATGGATGAATGGTGAGACCATAAGAGTGCCAAATAATTAAATAAAAAATAATAGTTCAAATTCAAAAAAAGTAGAATGCACCATTGTTTGATAATTCCTCTAATTATTTCCTACAATATCTGGATTAATCCACTTAATGATAAAAAAGATAAAAAATCACAAAATTAAAAATAAAAAAAACCAAAAACCTTCTATTTCTAAAATCGTAAGGTCAAAATTTGAATCTTATACTTTGTAGCAAGGGTTATTGATGTCTTGATAAACTATTAGGAGAATTATTCATGTCAGACAATCTTTTTTTTTATTTGGGTTAGGTTTATTGTCTTTATTTATGGGATGCTAATTACAAATTATAGTCAAAATATTTTACAAGTCTTGGATTCTATTTCGATGTGAAATGTCGATGTCGATGTCGATGGATATTTCGGGAAAAATAATGGAAATGGTGGAAATTGATGGAAATTTGATCTTTTTTGTCGACATGTCCACGACATGGGGGGAAATCGACTCCCCCCCCCCCCATGTTATTGTCGACATGTCTCTCGACATTTTGAACCCTGATCTGGCCTATCTGTTTCAAACAGGCTGGCTTCACAGAGCAGCGAACACCTTCCACTTCAAATTTCAATGAAGAGAAAATAGCTAGTGTATTTCTTTAAATATATATCGAATCTAATAATCTCTAAAGTTACGATTAATTTTTAGTTCAAATATTATTTGAGCTAAGTCGGACAAGTAAGTCCTTCCTACTCATATATAAATTTTTGTATTGTCCTTACATATTATTAACATTATTAGAAATAAATAATACCATAACTTGAAAATGAAAAAAATCATACCACCTTTTATCTTTTATCTTTTCCTTTTTTGAAGAAATAGAAATTGAAAGTTGGGAGTGGGAAATGATAATTTGGCAATGGGTTAAGATCATGAGAGGTTGGCATTCATGATTGACATCCACACAAAGGAATTCCTTTCTTTCTTTTCTCCTTTAAAAAGTACCATCAAGACATCAATCATGAATAAAAAAAAATTGAGTGCAAAGTACACTTCTTAGTCTGTGGAGTTTGAAATAGGTGTCGATTTTATCTTTAAAGTTTCAAAAGAAACACTTTGATCTGTAAAATTTGTGGAATAATTTTAAATAGTCCCTAAGTAGGCATTCATTTATATTCCATCAGAAGGTCATGAGTTCAAATCTCTCATCCTTCAAATCTYTCATCCTACATGTTGTGCTAAAAAAAATGCTTTAACGGTTAATCGACTAACGTTAAGATGATATGGTAGTACATTACTGATTTGTCAAAATATATTAATTTAATAATATTTTTATAGTGATCTGACGGTCTATCTTCTTTTCCATGAGATAAACTTCATCGTCGCCTATTTAAACACCTATTCCAAACTTCAATGACTTAATCTATTTTGCACTATTTAAATTTGTATTATCAAATAAATCAATCAAAATAAAACCAAGTAACAATTTTATTTCTCAATTTTATATTTTAAGAAACCAATCAAAATAACATACATTAACATATTAAAATGGATTGATTTTTTGATTTAGACTCACTCTGGGCTACTAAAATGCCAATGAAAACATATATAGTCACTTCAACCGCTATTTTACGGATGATTCAAACATAGGTTCGACTTCTAAACCCTATTCAAGTGATATGGAATCCGTGACCTAAACGCCCCGGTTCGATATGTTGTTTCCTTACAACCACCATGTGTGTTATAAAGAAACTTGCTAAAAGAATGGCTCTCTCAACTTGTATAAAATTGGCATAGTACGTGAATTATTACACAAAAATTGTGATTCCATCATTTTATATTTCAATTATTCCCAAGAACCCAACCAAAATTCAAATTCTGAATCCAATCTAAATGAAACTTTTCCCCGTTACCTTCATTCGACAAATCGACGCCCTGCTAACAAACAGAAGAGCTCACTCTAGTTTCCAACTGATGGTTCTACCGATTTAGGCTAACGACGAGACAGCTTCAATGGCGCTGCCTAGAGGCCATGCTGCTTCAACCAAGGAATTCTGATACTTAACCTTCTTCACCAATGTGATCTCTTGCCAAGGATCCAGACCTACACCAAACCAAAGCAAACAAACACAGGTACAGACGATTTATACGATGTTAGGTATACGTATCGATCATTTATATGATATAAGTATTAACACCAATGCGAATGCAACCTACCAAATCCATCTACGAGTAGTGTGTACTGGTATACAAGATCCATACACAAGTACGGCAGGTTATCCTTCTCGACATTGGGATATGTACTGGCGTCCTCGGATTTGATATGGCATGCCCGCTTCGCTGCCTCCTCGAAGTCTGAAGGGTGAACTTTAGCAATCGGCTTATTGGGATCAGCAAAACCAGCCTACATGTTTACTTGGTTAGTCAGAAGTTGAAGCAAAAACGAGCATGATAGTTTCAAACTCCCTTACTGCAAGTCAAATATCATGGGTGACCTGTTCTTACCTCAGCAGCCCGGTCGAAGAAAAACGAAGCGACGAAGAGATTTTTCTGCCCATCCCCTCCTCCACCGTTCCAAACGCCACCAAAAGTGCACTTCATGTGAGTACATGTTGATTCATTTACCTTGAGAGCCTTCAAAACTGTCCTCCTGCATCCATTCAAGCTAGAGCCTGACGGAGAGGCTGATGCTTTGTAGTCCTGTCCACCGTAACGGTATGTTCCTAGAGAAAGAGGGAACATAAGAATACTTCAGTCCAACAAAGCTCTATTTGATTTCCAGAGAGATAAAAAGGAAGATACGATCATCCGAAAGAAGATAATAGTAGTTTCTTAACATATAAAAATCACATAGGAACAAGGGAATTTCTTTTGAAGGCAGGGAGAGAGAATGCTCAAGAGGAGTGTATAGTCAGAAGAGAGAAAGACCACCAATAGTTAAAAGTGTAGTCATAAGCGAGTGAGGGGAAAACAGCTTAACATATAGTGTGAAATGTAAAGGTGTGGGACCCAATATAAAAAGTTAAATAGGCCGGCGGGAAGAGTATAGGTCAGGGCATTTAGGAGTTAGATTACAATGGAGAGGGGTTTTTTTTTTTTTGGCAAGAGTCTTTTTAGTTTGAAGTAGGATTCTATTTCTTTTATTTGAATGTGAGAAAAATTTTTTGATGTAGAATCATGATTATAAAGTAAGGAACTGATACTAAACCATACTTAAAAAGACATTAAGATTCAGAAGTGCTATTTTTAGTTGTCTACTGCACCTCCGACCTCAAAGAAAGGAGTATATGTCATTTGGAATGCTATTTTAGTCGTAAATCCAAATACTTTTACCAAATCACATCTCTTAAGACAACATAAGAATATAAACATACTCCTACTAATGATGAATGAGAAATTCTCCGACCGTTTGGCATGAAGAACAGAATTCAAATCATTGGCTTCCTCACTTCTCAAATTCAAACATGTACTGTTTTGTTGGTTATAAGAAAAAATTATTTAATCGACAACTGCAATAATTTTCCTAACATCAAATGCAACTAAAAGATGTGTATCTGCAACAAAATCGATTAGTTACAACAAGTTTATACTCAATAAGATATTCATTTGTAGCTTCCATCGACATAAGAGGTGAAGAGAGAGAAATGGCGCTTGCAAAAAATTATCATCTGGAAGAAGAAAAACAAACCATCATGGCCAGATAGGATGCAATCATTGCTAGAGTCTTCAGAGACGCTCAAAACCTCTGCTCGAGCAGCCAGTAACCCATAATGCAAATAACTGATTCAAATAACCAAAACCATAAAAATCTTAGACTAAAAAAAACAATCACGTAAAGTCCAAGCATCAGCAGGTACTGGAAACCCAAAACAAAATACAAAGGAGAATTGACACAAAAAAACTTTAAAAATCCTAGGACAGGAAAAGAAGAATCATTAACTAGATCCTTGGGCAGGAGTCAACAAAACTAAACCATTGCTATCAAGGAATTGAGTAGAAGCAGAGTGAAATAGCAGATTGGTATCGCCATGATAAAATTTATCAACTGGCAAATTCAACGAGACGAGAAAGAAGAAAGTATACCTGTGAACGTAGAGATAATAAGTTACTCCCTTCAGAAACATTTTTTTAATATATGCGCCCTCTGCATCTGATAATCGAGCAGCATCCTTCTCTGAGATAGCATATGCCATTTGAACAGATCCTCCCCCAAGATCTACAACTCCAACTGTATCTGAATATTTCTTACCCAAGTTCCCAAGCAGATAGTTTATTGTCACCTGCAAATTGATAGCCAGGCTTGTAGCATGTTAATAGATGAGAACTCCATACAAGATCCCAAAAATTATTCAGATTATAAAAATCATGTACATGCATATAACAATCTCCATTTGAGTTGTCCCGAATATTTAAACATTCGTACATAGTTTAATCACAACCTTCATGCTATTTCAATATCCCATTCCAACCAACAAAATTCATTATGCTGGCAAGTTCCATCATCCAATTCTGCTAAGTCAACTCATTCAAACAGCTAATCTAGTACTGATGCTAAAAGTGAACTCATTGAATACATGCTAACTCCATTCTCAAACTTAGAAACAGTTAAGCTTTTGTGCTAAAGAGAGAACAGTATCCAAAGCTTCGGAGATTTGTAGGTTATTCAACAGATGATCAAACTTAAGACCAAAGTGTAAACAAAAGGAGATTTTCTCAAAGTAGTTGCTGAAGATGAAGCAAGATATGTTAATGGCAAATATGATACTTTTTCCTGACGGCATCACATTCTTCACTTAGAGGGGGAAAGAGAGAAATTAGCGAAAAACATCACACTATCACACAATTTTACTGCAAATTACATGCATTTGACGATTGAAGTTAAAAAAGGAAGATGCAGTTGAGGCCCAAACTACATACTGAGTTCAAAGTGCATCACAGCCATAATAGACATACATACCCACTGATAAGAACCCTCTTGAGTTCCATCAATTACAGACACACCATCTCCCTCCAACTTGAGGTCACTTTTGTCTCTCAGGAGATCCCTAACCTTAAAGAAAGTAAAAGCTTGCATCTCTTAGCACAAGATAAGGGGATACAGAAATTGCTTCCAAAGAGCAAGAATGGACCATTACCGCCTGCAAAATTCTTTCAGATGCATCACCTTTCAGAGCCCTCAGGCCTGCAGTTGCCTGCCATTAACACGAAAAATCAATCTCAAGAAGTGACATAGCTTCTCCTATAGAACAAAGCTAGAAAATTTCAAGGAAGATCAACGCACCCCAACTCTAACAGGGGTCATTTGCCGCAACCCTTTTGGAACCACGCTTTGTGCTTTTTCCAAAAGGGAAATTAGAGAATCTGCAGCTTTCTTAGGATTGTCGGGATAGGCACTCAGTCCTGGTTTAAGCTAAAGATGAAGTACGAAATCAAACATGAGCACACCCAATATCCAAGGAGAAAAAATATAGTCAGACTCCTACGTTTAATGCAAATACAAATTACAGAGTCACAAAAACACAAAATAAGCACACCCAATGTAGAAAGCGATTTAATTACAACGATCAGTGAAAATGTAGTTGGAGGAGGTTAGTACTTGATCGAAAAGTTCGATATCCTTGCCAATGGGGAGGAGATCGAGATGGTGGTCGAAGCAAAAGACATGAACGCGGCTCCCAGAGCTGCCAGCATCAAAAATAACGGCATAAGTGGTCTTGGAAGAGGACGACCTGTGATCGGGGGCAACTTTGCGGTGGTTGAAGGAGTAATCCTCTCGAGCAGGCATGAGATAGAGAATGAAGGCGATGAGGAAAAGCGAGAGAGAGGTGAGGAGCAACACCCCTCTGAATCTGTAGATCTTGTTGGACAAGGATTCCGACTGCTGCTTACCGGGGCGCTTGAGCATCTTGTCGAATTCCGACTGAAGTAGCTTCTGCTGATCCTGAAGTGGCTGAGACGCAGATTGGCCTTCGAGAAGCTCAGCGGAAGACGGAGATCGGTAACGGATCTGGCCGTTTCCGGTGGAATTGGAGGCAGAGGGAGCCTTCAAGGACTGCGGTGCTTCGGGAGTCGGATCCAGCTCTCCTTTCTTAAGAACAACGACAATTAAACGCAGTGAAAATCTTTAATAATGGTCTCGCACCAGCATCAAGGACGGATCTCCGAGGACTCCGCCAGTGGGAAATCAACGAAATGGGGTCCCTCGCTCGTCAGTGGAATTGGGATTGAAAGAGAAACAAAAAAAAAAAAACAAGAATTGGGTTGAAAATCGAACAAGAGACAGTTGGAAGGCGGAAATCAGAGGAAATGGGATGAAACAAGATGGATTTTGGCGTAGTTATGAGAAGCGGGCATGTGAACTGAAGGTTGGGGAAGCACTGGCAATGGCGGATTCTGAATTCTGATTCAGAAATTTTGATTCAGAGTTGGCGAATACGCTTCACAAAGCGGCAACGCAACACAAGAAATCGAACGTAAATAATAATGCCCAAATTTTCATTGATTCTAAATTTCTACGTTTCGGATCAATGCTTCTACTTGACGTTTCTTTGATTTTTTATTATTTTATTATTTTTTTCTTTTTTTCTTTTCCCTTTGATTTTTTGGTTTCTACGTTTTGTGACTAATATGTATTTATTTATATATCATTTTTTGAGTTTCAAATTTTAAGTTTTTTTTTATTATATATATAATTAGGTTCGTCAGAAAATTTGAATTTGGTAGATTTTGAAATTCTTACTTTAGATTTTAGAGAACTATGTTAATAATTAAATCTAATGTTAAGTAAATGCTAATTGGTGGTACTAATTGAAGTATTAAATGAATGGTGATGTATGCAAGTGAAATACTCGAATAATTACAAAAATATCTAGATTTGAAACTCAATATTGATGAAAATATCTAATAATATTTTTTTAAAAATTATTTAAAATAAAAATGTCTGAAAAATTATTCAAATAAATAAGTTAATTTTTTTTATTACTAGTACTGTCTCATGATATTTTGTTTTTTTTATATATTTCATCAACTATTTATAATATAGGAATATCAATTCATCCTTGGACACATCAATACAACTTTAGTTGTATAGTTGAATAGTAAATGACATTTTTTAATACTAACACGTGGGAGTGGAGATTCAGACCCTTCTAAATATTTGGCAGTAATAATAATAATGAGTTGTCAATTTTTCAATAGTATTTAGGACAATATTTAGTCTTCACGGATAAGAAGTAAAAAAAATTACTATCAAGTTTGGAAATTATTTGATAATTTTTTAAAATCATTTGATAGCTAATTAAAATTAATATGCTCTCACACATCCCTCAAAAAATGATAGTGTGACAAAAATCATCCTTACCAAATGTTGTAGGGTTAGACAATATGATGACATGAGTTGGTTGGATCAAGAGAAGTTACGAAAATTTTACAGTGTACACCCTATTAAATAAAATATTATATTATTTATCAAAATGTGAATGGTAGGAATATTTAGTACTTGAAAATTTCTCCAAAAAATACACATAAACATATAGTTTGATGAGGAGATAAACCAATAACATTATTTACTCCCACTGAATTTTTAAATTTGTCTACTAGATTTCAGAATTTTAAAAAATATATTTAAATAAAACCCTACACTTTGTCTTTAATTTAAGTTGCCCAAAAGCATCAATCCTTCTGATAAATTTTCAAGTTTTTGTAATTTTAAATTAGAGAGAAGTTTTATATGATTTTTTTAAAATAAACATTCAAAATTTTTATCTTATAACTAATCTTCTGATTGTGCATTTTTAAGTTAAAAATGATAAAATGGCACTTTTATCTACGCGTTTGAAAAAAATCAAAAACAGACTAAAAAACTTGATTTTGTTATTTCTAAAATTTCTACCTATAGAAATATTTCTAAAAATTTAAAGAAAATTTTATGAGAAACTGGGAAGATTTCATTATAAAAAAGGCCAGTAAAAAAGAGAGTAAAAAAGAGCCCATAGAAGCACTTCAACTCGCAAAGATATTCACAAGTGAAAGAAACAAAAAACAAGAAACATTTATCGAATGCAATTTTTTAGAAATCGAAAACAAGAAACAAGAAATGGAAATATTACCAAATGGGCCCTTAAAAACCTACACTTTTAAAATCCATGGACCGATGAAAGTAGAACTAAACTCAGTAATATAACCTTAAAAATAAAAGTTAATTCAATCTGGAAAAAAAAAAAGGGACTACCTTAAATCTGAAAAAACATATAACAAAACCTGAAAATGGCAGCAAGCAACAGCAATCACTTGGCAATTCAGAGAATTGATTTAAAGGGGAAGTTAATTGAAGGATTATTGATCCAGAAGCTGCAAAATAGACTTTAAACAGCACCAATTTATCTTAATAACAGAAATGGAAGTGTTCTTACTTGCTACATTTGATTGATCAAAGCCTATCTAAAGAAACACAGCAGCAGCAGCAGCTTTTAACTTGGGTTTCAAGCTTTCTTCTGCTTGGCTGGGGCTCGGGCTCGGGCTCGGGCTGGGACTGGTGGTGGGAAGATGAATCGGAAAATCCAAGCAGCCAAAATGGCTCCTATGAAGGGGGAGATCCAGTACACGTACAACTGCTCCCATGTGTCGTGCCTGTTGTTTATATATGCCCACCCAAATGCCTGCATTTCAAATCACACGTTAGCTATTTATCATACCCAAGAAGACAAATATCGCCTTCTTGCTCATTGTTTTGGTCTCTGTACTGGAAAAATCATAACATAACCGTTGCTTCTACCAGCTAACAAATCAAAACATGTGCACTACCAGCTAACGAATCAAAACATGTCGAGTGCATGATGGATTTTGTATCAGATGAAGCAAGATTCATAGAATATAATCATTCTATGATCAATTACCGAAGCTTACAATCAATAGCAGCACCCAAGTTGGTATCATTTTGTCTTGCTTTGATTCTGTCAACGCATTTAGTCTTTGTGTGAAAAAAAAAAAGCATTTTAAAGTGATTTAACCTACTTAATAAGAATTTTTAGAATCTAAAAATTATTAAAATAATTATTAGGGAGGATGTAGATAAAGATAGCATGTTTTGAGAGAGATTGGCTAGAGAAACTCTCAGTCTAGATACAAGTGAATGAAAAGTGTGTTTAGAAGGACTAGTAAAACTACGTATTTACTATTTATAAATAGATCTTGATGAGAGAGAAGTTAACAAGGGAAAGTTTGGGAGAGGCTTTTCAAAAAGTGTAGAAATGTTTATATAACTAATCACTTAGAGAGCTTGTTATTTAGGAACTTGTTCAGAAATGATGTAATGAAAGAAAGATAAGAGTTTTTCGCTACGTATTTGACCAAATAGGAACATCCAGTTCCTATAGAACCTATCACTAAAATACCCCAAAAGGGAAAGTGTGAAAGGGTTTTGCTATTACCTGACACGAGGTTTGTGAATAAGTGATGCAAGGAATGTTTGTATGGAACTATTTGGTGGATATTTTAGGTAGGAAGTGCTTTTTAACCATTTACAAGCACTATCAAGCATAGCCTATAGGATTGCTATTAATTAAAATGTTCCTTCCATTATGCATAAGAGACATTACAGAGAAAGCATAGATTTAAGGATGAGAAAAATGTATGAGGCATTTTGGACCATGAGCACACCAAGTTATGCAATGTAGTTCCAATATAGAAAGACAGGAAAACGTGCAACAACAAGAAGATATTTGATGACTGTCGTAAATTCTGCATACTTACACTGAGCTGCAAAACTTTGAGAACTAAGAACAAGTCAATATCCTATACACATATTGTGAGATGAACTTATGTCATGTTTATTTTGAATGAATAATTTTAATGAAGATTATAAAATGTCTAACTTTAATATAAAACAAAATGGTGGCTGCGTATTTGCATTATCAAGATCCAAAAGAGATTTAATATGTTAGGCATGTCTTTTAATGAGCGTCTTTAACTAATTAAAAACACCTTTAAACAAAAGTAGTTTGAGAATTTCTAAAATCAGATTAAAAAAACACTTCAAGCTTTTATGTAAAATATTTAATTAGTTCTCTTCCAAACAAGCTTACAAAATATATGCTTCACTTAAAAAAAAAACTTTTTTAAAAGGCATCCCAAACTCACCCTTAGTCTAAGCCAAGCCACCACACAATGAATCGATGCAACAACTTCCGTGGTCAACAAGTTACTTCCATAGTAAATATAAAGATATTGGAATGAAAAATCAACACTCCCTCGCCACATCAATCATGAAGGCATTAATAGCACACAAAATACAACTACATGTAACGTTTAAAACAAGAATATACCTTTTTTTAATATGAACTTACTGCTGATTGTCAATGAGATTCATCAAATGATAATGCAAGTATAAAGCTTAATAGTAGTGGTGTACTCACATTTGCAGGATTCATGGAAGGCCCAGTGTAAGGAGAACCAGCAACGATTAATGCTACAGTAGCCATAGCCAGCAACCATGTTTTAATTACTTCGCTGGAGGGACCCCTGAGTACAATCAGAAGAACAGCAAAACTGATTATAAAGGTCAAAACTCCTTCAGCTGTGGCTCCAGTATGAATATCAACTTTTAGCGAAGGGCCACCGAGCATGTGCTTATATTGTATAGGCATCACCTCCTTGATCGCCAATGCACCCGCAACAGCACCAGCTGCCTGCCGATGATAAATCCTATGTCTAATATCATACTTTTAAATGCATTTGATTCCAGCAGAAGGCAGAAGGAAAACAACAGCAGTAAAATAGCAGAAATTTTCACCAATATTGATTCATTTTATCGATTTCCTATTCTACTTGATGTCCCAATATCTGATGAAACATAGAGATAAAAGGAGAATATAAGTCATCAGTGAAAAGCAGGAGCGGGCCTAGAAGAACTTCCTCCCTAATTTGTCTTAGATTCAAAAAATTATATAAAAATTTAAGATTTTAACCTAATTGCTCTCTAAATTTTTCGGATTAAAAAGTGTTATATATAAAAAATTTATAAAGTAAAATCTTGACTCTCCTTGTGAAAAATTCTAGCTTGACCTAGGTGAAAAGCCATCCATTCTTGCACCCAAAAGCATCTATTGGGGTTTTTTTCTGTTTCTTTTTTTCACTGTTTCTTTATTTCTTAACTATCAGTCAGCATCATTTTTTTGAAGGAGAGAAAATTTTGCTCCCCTACACCAAGAGCACCTCCACCCACTCCTAGGCCCGAATCTGAGAAACATCAAAAATTTTTAGTATTAAGCTCACCAAAAGGTTCAAACTTAAAGACGTATGATCCGGTATGACCAAACTTAAGACTTATGATCCGGTATGACCAAGAGACCGCAAGTTCTTGCCAATTGCACCGGCCCTTCGGACATCAGTTATAAGTTGTATAACCCATTTTTGCCAATACGACAATCTGTCTTCCTCAATCGGTACCCATGAAAGGTACTGAGTGTTCTCTATCAAGAGCCACTACACAACCCTTACAATCGAGGAAAATCGATCTAAACTCTGAGGAAGCGCCATGCAAGAGATAAAGCAGAACCCAGTGACACGCAACAATATGTACATATCACCAAATACCCAAAGATTCTAAAGAATGCCAGTCCAAAAATCGAACAAATCGAGACAACGCATAAAAGTTATCACTCAATTACAGAATCAGAAAGAGAGAGAGAGAGAGAGAGAGAGAGAGAGAGAACAAATGCAAACCTGAGCAGGGAAACGGAGAGCCATGGCGAAAAGAGAGGTTGGGCCAACTCCGGCAGCGTAGAAAGCAGCAGTGGCGGTGGGGTTAAAGCTGGCCCCACCCAAAGCAGCGCCAATTATATTAAAGACGAAAACGAGAAGGAAGACGAGAGTAGTGGTGATGAGGAGCGGATGAAGCGGCACGCCATAAACTCCAGCGGCTGAGTACAGGAGGGCGGTGAGAACCCCAAGAGACGATGCGCAGAAAATCCACATGGCAGTGAGCACGCCATCGCCGATTGCAGCCTTGATCTCATCAATCATGATTAATCTCCGAAATTCGAACAAAATTGGCCCGAATTAGCTCCTCCTAATCGACGCCAGAGGAATGGAAACCTGAAATCAGAGCTGCAGCTGCAAATAGGGCAACTCTGAGGAAGAATTCTTCTGGCCTCTCGCTCGATCGCTCGATCGCTCGTCTGGTTCTTCCGATTCTGCCTCGCCTCAGATGGAATCGAAATCAATCGCCACTTATACGAGATGAAATCTTTTCTGAGGAGAAAATGGAAAATTTTTGGGGAAGATAAGAATCACAACTGTTATTGAGGGTTCATGGATACTGAGCCATTCACCTAATTCGGGATTTTCTCGGAAAATTTCGGGTGTGGGGCTGATTTTGATTGCTTCGATGAGGTTTCCGTTTTAAATTTGTCGTTTTTATTTTTGGAATTTGAACATTTTTGTTTTTATCTTTCGTTTAGATAATTTTAATGTTAAAATGTCATTGTGGCCCTTTTACTCCAAACATTCTTTTAACGCTTAAATACTATTTTTTTTCTCAAAAAAAAAACGCTTAAATACTCTATTTCTTCGGTGTAATTTACATTTTAGTCCTTGTATTAATATCTATTTTATATTATATATGTTTCATCTTTTACTTTTCATAAAACGAAAATATTATATTTTTTAATGACTAAGATATAATATAATAATATACATATTACTATATGAGGAGGTACAAATTCAAACTAACAAGCTCAGTGATAATTGACATATATCCCTAACTAAGAAAGTGTAAGTTCGATCCCCATCCACTATTATATTTACAAGAAAAATATTTTTGTTGCAGATAAATACTTTAACCAGTTGAATAATGTTGAGGTTGGTTTTACCAACTAAAATATTATTTTTCAACATACATTAACATGACGATGTATTTCACGAGTTTCTCCTAAATCTTCCAAAGTTTTTATTTACAAATTTTATATATTTACAAGTTTTTTTTCAAATAATCATATATTTACAATTACTTTAAAATAATAACTTACATATTTCACTTTTATAAAATAAAATTATTCTCATAATAGCCTCCACATTCTATACTTTCCACTTTTATTAATTTTAGTCATTATACTATCAAATTATTGTAATTTAAAAAAAAAGCCTAGAATTTTAACACTAACTCATAAACATAAAAGAAACTGTTTAATAAAATTTTAGTCAGTGAAATATCATATTAAAATTATGATCGAAATAAATGAGATAAAAATAAAAATCAATAAACCAAAATGATCCATTTTAAACAAAATGTAAAATCAAAATAGACGTTTTATTGGTAAATGAACAAAACTAAGTATTAGATATGAAAAATGAAGGTTTTAAAAAGTAATAAACAAAAATAAACGAAGCAAAAATTACAATATTTGAACAAGACAAAAATTATTGTCATAATTGCCTTATATCCAAATATATCAATTGAATCCGGCCCAATAGGATTTCAAAGCCCAATCCCCAAGTCTCATTACTCTCCATAACAACCCTCCAATCCAACGGCTATTTCAAAAACTAGCCGTTACAAAAAGCAACCCAACGACTACTTTCTCTGAAACTAGTTTTAAACTAAGCTTCTTCCGCCATTGCCATTCTCAAACCCAAAGAAATCATATTCCCGCAAAACCTTCTCTCTCTCTAACACCAAAATCTCAACTTTCCTTTTTCTATCTCACTCCAATTAATTTATCTCTCTTCCAAATTAGCAACATGAACGATCTGATGACCAAATCCTTCACCAGCTACGTGGATCTGAAGAAGGCTGCCATGAAAGACATCGACCTCGAGGCCGGTTTAGAAATGGCGTCCACTGACAGCGGCGGTGACATGGTTCTCTTCCTCGAAGAGGCCGAGAAGGTGAAATCGGAGATGGGTTCGATTCGAGAGATCCTTGGAAAGCTCCAGCAGGCCAATGAGGAGACCAAATCGGCTCACAAACCGGAAACTTTGAAATCTCTCCGCCACACCATTAACGTCGACATCGTCACCGTCCTGAAGAAGGCGAGATCTATCCGATCCCAGCTCGAGGAAATGGACCGCACCAATGCTGCCAAGAAGAGGCTCTCTGGCAGCAAAGAAGGATCCGCCATTTACAGGTACTAAACCGATAAATTACAGTAAATTTGATTAGTTCTGGACTTAGATGGAAACTTTTTACTCTGCTCTGATCGTAAATTTAATCTCCATCCACACGCAAACTGAACAAAATAGGATGCAAATCATTTGAGTCATTTTAGCGTAGTTCTAGATTTAAATTGAAATCTCTAATTCTACTCTGGATGGGTTACTCTCGTCCGTATGTTCAACAAACCAGGACGCGGATGGCGGTGACAAACGGGCTGCGGAAGAAGCTAAAGGAGCTAATGATGGAGTTCCAGAGCCTGAGGCAACGGATGATGACGGAGTACAAGGAGACGGTGGGGCGGCGGTACTTCACGGTGACGGGAGAGGAGGCGGAGGAGGAGGTGATAGAGAAGATAATAGAGAACGGCGGGGAGGAGTTTCTGGGGAGGGCGATAGAGGAGCACGGGCGGGGGAAGGTGGCGGAGACGGTGGTGGAGATACAGGACCGGCACGGGGCGGCGAAGGAGATAGAGAGGAGCTTGCTGGAGCTGCACCAGGTGTTCTTGGACATGGCAGTGATGGTGGAAGCACAGGGGGAGAAGATGGATGACATTGAACACCATGTCATCAATGCTTCACAGTATGTGACAGATGGGACTAAGGATTTGAAGAATGCTAAGGATTTGCAGAGGAGCAGTAGGAAATGGATGTGTTTGGGGATTTTGCTTCTCATTCTCATTGTTTTTGTTGTTGTTATTCCCATTGCTGTTAGTTTTGGGAGTTCTTGAAGTTCTTCATTCATTTTTTTTTTTTGGGAGATGGGATTTGATTGTTGTGAAGTTGGGAATTTTTGGGATGTTCTTGGCATCCCCTAAATATGATGGAATTTATGATTTGATTTATGCAAATTCAATTAATTCTTTTTGTGCTCAGACACGAGTTTGTTAGTGGTAATTGGCATGTCTACTACTAAAAAGTTAATGAGTTTAAATTTCTCGTTCCTTATCCCTAGTAATTGGTATGTCTACTACTAAAAAGGTATTGAGTTCAAATTTCTCGTTCCTTACCTCTACTTGTTGTAAAAAATAAAATTTATAATTATTTATATATAGTGTTCCTTGTCCTATTTGTTGAAAAAAAAATTATAACCAGTATATATAGCTATTGATTTTTTAGACTTATGAAACTTGATTTTTTTTAATTAGTGGTAATTGGAAAATTTATGATTTGATTGATGCAAATTCAATTAATTCTTTTTGTGTTCAAACACGAACTTCGTTAGCGGTAATTGGTAAAAAGTTAATGAGTTCAAATTTCTCGTTCCTTATCCTATTTGTTGTAGAAAAGAAAATTTATAATTACTATATATAGCGCTACTCATCTTATTTGTTGAAAAAAAATTATAATCTCTTATATACAGCTATTGATTTTTTATACTTATGAAACTTGATTTTTTTTTAATTAACGCTAGCATAATTCAATTGGAAGTCAAATATGATGTTAAAAAAAAATCAAACGTAGGCTATATATATATATATATATTAAATGACATCTTTTAAAATAAGTAATTTTTTAATTATAATTTGTTTAACTTTAGTATACTTTGTAGAGCCAAAACTTTTTAAGCAAAAATTTAAATTCTAACATTTTTGCTCAAGTAGGAAGCAAATTAGAAGAAAAATAATATATATTTGTAATTTTTTTTCTTTTTAATTTGAGACAGACAAGAGGGCCCCTCTTTGCCCATCCATTTATCTCTTTTTCCTTCCAATACTTTCATAAATATGCTATTTTTAGAACTTTATTATATACATATAAATAAATGGAATTGGACTTTTAAAAAAAAAAAAACACAGTAACTGAATTAAAATAGACTCAAGAACCTGGGTCCAACTTTCCTCAAATCTGATAGGTTTATTCTTGCTTCACGACCAGCCTCCACTTAAAGTGTTTGTCTCCCAATGCACTAAAATTGGTCTGTGGTCAGACGCTAGAAACTCGAGGTGTTTTACTGCTACATCTGTGAAAACCTGGCGAAAAAACGATCTAGTCTTTCCCAAATGGTTTGATGGGCAAAATGGCCATCACACCAAGTAAAATCAGTAAGACCGCACGTATCAATCACATCCCTGAAGTCTTGCATAAGCCTAGTTCTTCTAACTTCTACTATTCCCCCATTTTTTCTCTGAATTAGACACAATCTCGTTAAAATTACCCCCAATAATCCAGGGTGCTTGGGAGATGGCATGTAGACGCTCGATTAAATCCCACGACTCCTTCCTTCTCTCTTGATTGGGGTGCCCATAGATACCTGTAAAATGCTAACGCTCATTGCCTTCCTTTATCACAGCATCAAGGAAGGTAACCAACGGTGGCGTTTTTAGATATTGGTACTGCCTGTTAAATAAACTCTTTAAATAATTTATTTTTGTCAACCCGAGCAAAGTTAACAATAAAAATTTATACTTCAAGTCGGATTTATTTCTAATATCCAATACAAAATCATGTATTAATGTACTATTACCGTCTCAAATATTAATAGTTGGAAGTAATATATACAGACATAGGTTTGAGTTTTCAAAAGATGGATGTCAATTTTTACATTCATATCTACTCAATTCACAGAATTCAAATTGGACAAAAAAAATTGGGGAAGAAAAGAAAAAGAATTATGGAGTAAAAATATTTTGTCCCCACCATTTCTGAGTCAGTTCCTTCACAAATTCACCATCTCCCCCTTTCCCTGATTCAAAAACTTCAATCGCAAAACAGAGCCGTAAGCCGACGTCGCCGTCGCCGTCGTGAAAATACCAAACCCTAACTCTTCTTCCCCTCTTTAGCGCGTCACTGTTACGCGCCACCACCTGGCTCCACTGCCCGGTCAGCACGTACGACGGCGGCTGATTCTCTCCGATCCGCCGCCTCCGCAGAGTCACGGCGCTGACCGTTCCGCTGTCCGGCTCGATCACCTCCACCTCCATGTCCTCGCCGGCGCTCATCCGATCCTCCTCATCCAGCAGCAAGAACGCCTCCTTCACCTTCTTCGCCGGAATCGACAACCGGTTGCGATTCTCGTCGACGTCGGATTCGCGCAGTTTCTTCTCCATCAAGATTCGAGGACGGATCGATAGCGGATCTACGAGTCGCTTCGTGAATTCCAGGGGGAAGTTCGGAGGAAAATTGTGAGAGATTTGAGACTCTGTTTCTGATTCCTCGCCGTCCGATTCAGAGGAGTCTTGATCTACGGCGGCGAAGGCGGCGGCGGATGCGGCGGCGGAAAAGGAGGACTCCGATTGCGTTGTTTCTTCCATGGAAACGTCTTTTTCTTCTTCGATTTCCATTGCTGCATCGGTAATTTCTTGATCGACGGTCATAATGTCCACTTCTTCATCCTCATCTAACTCGTCGTCGCCGTCGCCATCGCCGTCGCCGTTTTCTTCTTCCTCGCCGTCGTCTTCTTCGTCGTTCTCTTCCCGTCTTAGTGCGCCGTTTACACTCTCAGCGGGCGAATATGTAGGAGGATTGTCGTCGCGACTTTCGTCGTCGGTTGTTTCGCCGTGGACGGAGGAGGAAGTGTTACCGTTCATAGCCAAGAAATTTAAGCGAAGAATTTCTCTGTAGATTGTTACTTCCAGGTCAGTTCTCTGCTTATATATAAACTAATTCTATTCACAAACTAATCTAACTAACCACTATTTTTTTTTAATAAAAATAAGTTTTTTTTCCTATATATATATAGAGATAGAGGATGGAAGATGAATATGAGTAATATATTACAATATTTTATTATTTCATATTTGTTACGTTAAATAAAAAATCTTTTTGTTAACAAAAAAGAAATTAAAAAAAATCACCTTTCCAATTGTGCGATTGTAATATTTAATTTTATTTACAAAAAATCAATTTTCATTCAACCGACTCATAAAATCGAACTCAGAGCATAGTTCAATAGTAATTGACATATACCTCCAACCGTGAGTTCGATCACATATTGTAATAAAAAAACTCATAAAATTGGACAACTTTTGATATCTATTCGAAAAAAATTTGAGACTCTTGGGTATAAACAAATTGTTCTACAAAAGTATTGAAATAATATTCTATATGATATTGACATGTTTGCAATAATTTTCAATCCAAAATTATTTTAAGTGATTCCGAACCCGGAAATATGGTTATAAGTAATTTTTAGTAAAAAGAAAAATAATAAAAAATGAAATTTTAAAAATGATTATTGTTTTAAATTTCAAATTTCTATTTTTATTTCACATTATTTTCAACTAAAAAGTTTAGAAATTTTATTATTTTTAATTTTATTTTTATCTTTAATTTTGTTTATTCTCTCTATTATCTTTTTCTAAAATTTTTCTCAAATATCTCTAAATTTTGATCCTCGTTCTATCCACTTCTACCAGTAATCCTTTAAATCACTTTTAATTATATAAAAATCATTATAAAAATCGTGTAACCAAACGGATTAAAATAACTATATAAAAACAGGTCCTAATTTCACACCATACACGTGTAATTGATTCACTAAATATACATAGGAATCTATTTTTCTAGTAATGGTTTAAAATTAAATTGGATCACAAAAAAAACATTGCAATACTTATTAATTATTGTAATCAGAGGTATTAAAAAAATTCCATGACTAGAAAAAACAAACCCAATCCAACCCATATTATTTGGATTAGGTTATAAATTTGTTTGGGTTTAGTTGAGTTCAAATAAATAAAACTTTTATGGATTAAGTTGGTTAATGATTCACCAAAAAATGTCAACGCGAGTCTAATTTCTCCAACGGTTTTGAGTTCGATCTCTCACCCTCACATATTGTACTAAAAAATGATTCACCGAAAATAAGTTTGGTTGAACCGAACCAATCCAAACTTATTATTAATGTTAAAACATTTATCTTACTCACCATAAAAATTATATGTGGTTATATTTATTTTATTCAACAAATTTTTATAGATTATTTATTCTACAACTTCTTTTAAAAACATTTTTTACAAAGATATATTTATCATGGGTTTCATTAAATGGTGTTATTGCATAAAACAAAAAATGATTTTGCTCAAAAGAAAAAAAATAGTCTATACCTATGAACAAAAAAAATTCCCATAATGCCCCCACCAAAAACCCTCAACTATCCTCAATCGTAGGTCCTAATTTTCCCCCTTCTTCTCCTTCTTCAACGAGCAAGAAGCAGAGCCTCCCATGGCCGCCGCCGCCACCGCCGCCACCGCCGCCGGCGCGGAAACTCCATAGATTCACCGTATCTCCCTCCTTCAACTCGTTCCTCTCCACCAGGCCGTGCCACTCCGTGATCATCACATACGCCGGCCCCTTCCTCGTCTCCCACTTGCTCAGCGTCATCAAACTCACAGAAGAGTCCGGCTCGATGATCTCCACCATCATCCACTTCTCCTGGTTCAATTTTTCCTCCTCCTCCAGTTCCATAAAGTTCTCTCTAATCTTCCTCTGCGGAATCACCAGCCGATTGCATCTCTCGTCCACATCCGCTTTCCCCAATTTCTTCGCCATCACGAAATTAGGGCCCGAACAACATCCTCCCATGAAATTCATCGCTCTCTGGATCTCCTGCGGCAGGTCGTAGCTCACCGCTCCCCGGACTTCCGCTAATTGCGGCATCGCCTCGATGATTAGGGCGCATTCTCGATCGGTGATGACCTCGCCCTCGCCCTCGCTCTCGCTCTCGCACTCCGCGGCCGGTGGTGCCGCTTCGAGACTTTGAACTTCTTTCGATTCGACGATTGGGCGTTTCAGAAGCTTTTCTCTCAATAATCTCAGTTGCTTCAGGTCTGCTTCCATATCCCTCCTCTTCCTCTTCTTCCTCTTTTTTAGTGGCATTCGTTCATTGTCGTCGTTAGTGAGATCGATTATTGTGATGGTTTCTTCTTCTGCAACCTCTTTCTTTTCTTGATTTTCGTCGACTTCGCCGGTTGTTAGTGGAATTTCTTTCTTGTCGTCGTTTGTGAGGTTGAATTGACTTTGACTGGTGGTTGCTTCTTCTGCAACCTCTCTGTTTTCTTGACGTTCACCATCCTCACCGGTTTTTAGTGGAATTTCTTTCTCGTCGTCGCTAATGAGAACGAATTGAGTGGCGGTTTCTTGTTCTGCAACCTCCTTGTTTTCTTGATGTTCATCGTCTTTGCCTGTTTCTACTGGAATTTGTTTCTCGTCTTCGTTACTGAGATTGAGTACTTCAGTGGTGGTTTCTTTTTCTGGAACCTCTTCGTTGTCTTGATGTTCATCGTCTTCGCCGGCGTGATCTGAACGGTGTGGATGCATAATCTCGCCGGCGACGAAGAAGAAGAAGAAAAAGAAAATAACGGATGTGGTTTTTGGGAGGATTAAATCTAATGGGCAGCATTTTTTTCCTTAAAAAAAGGTTAAAATATTCATTTTTTTGGACGAAAAATACACTGTTTAGTTTAAATTTTAGTTCACCTTAAAGAGTCTATCATTTTTGTCCATAATTACAAAGTTTCAACACAAATTCTACCTACAATACAATATATTTTAATACAAATTTGTGGTTATATTTTAAATATAATGTATTGAGTATAATGTAAAAAGATCAAAATAATATTTTAATAAAAAATTTTGGTTTAAATTCTATTTCAACAATTTAAATTTTGAAAGGTTTATTTTACTCTAGACTTAGAAAATAACTATTTAAAATATCAATTTTACTTAATTTTAAAACATAACTATTTTGATTATTGTTATTATTTTATTACACAATATTTTCACATCTAATATTCCAGTCTACATGATTATAATATTAATCTACATTGTCTACGATATTAACATAGGTAGTTTAGGAGATAATACATCAACCAACGATAAACTATTTGATTGCAAGAATTTAATATTGCAATCAAATAGTATTGTTAGTACTAGTTTGATTTTATCACTTTGAATGTTTTTTTTATGGGTTTGTGTATTTATTTTTTGTATTTTAGATTTTGTTACCTATGTTGATTTTGTGCTGATTTAGATATGAGTTTGGATATTTTGTTGTTGAGTTTGAGATTTTTTACATGTTTGATAATTTTTTTTATTGAGTTTAAACCATTTATATGAGTTGATATTGAGGTCTTTGTTGGTTGAATTCTATAGGGTCAAGACTAATTATTGAGTATTTTTCTAATATAGAATTCTAATTTTATAAATTTTATCCATTATTAAAATTCAGGGTTTGAATTCAATAAAGTAAACAAAATTTGAGGTTAAAATTGATAAAAAAAAAAATTTGCTGAAAATTTAACCTTTTTTTTCAGCAATATTTGATAATTTTCAATTATGTACCTATTTGTGTGAACTGTGGTTCTATTCCAATTTGGAAGTGAAAAGAAAATAAATAAATAAAACCCTTCGTGGGTAGACTAAAAGAAACCCATTTGAAAAAGAAAAAAAAAATCATTAACTATTCCATTCAAAAGACATGGGTGATTTGCCAATTTATATTAATGAATAATGATTTTTGAAGGATAATATTGGAATCTTACTCGAAAAAGAAAGATTAATAAATCGGACTTTATCAATAATTTAGCCCTTAACTTTTTTTTCGTACTCCTCTAGGATGTACGCTCTCTCTCTCAGTCGGTGACTGAGGCTTTTCGGGAGCTCGCCTTTCTTCGTTTTCTTTCCTGCGAGAGGGGAGGCCTTTCCACTCTCAATATGGACCACGAAAATCTTCTAGCAGATTGGCAGAAATTCAAGCTGACATCGGAAGAGGACGAGATTGCGATGGATGTGGATGTTGATGCTGTAAAGATGGCTGAGCAGGGGTTAGCGTATAGCTTGGTGGGCAAACTCCTCGCCAAAAGGATTATCAGCGCTGATGTGTTATCCAGGGTGCTCTTGTTAGCTTGGAAGGTGGAACACCAATTAACGGTGGAGAGCATTGGGAAAAACTTGTTCCTGTTCCATTTTTGCAGGGAATGTGATATGAATAGAGTAATGAAAACAGGTCCTTGGTTTTTCGATAAGGCTCTCATTGTTCTTCAAAAACCATGTTCCTCAAAAAATATTTCCGAATTGGAGTTCAATAGGGTGGCTTTCTGGATTCATTTATTTGATCTTCCAATGTCATGGTTGAATAAGACAATGGCAATCCGTCTAGGGAATGCGATTGGAAACTTTGTGGATGTTGATTGCAATGAGAAAGGATTCAGTTGGGGTGCAAGCCTGCGAATTAGGGTATTGATTGACATAACCAAACCACTGAGAAGAGGAATTAAGATTAACATTGATGGTCCAATGGGAGGATGTTGGATTCCGATCCAATATGAACGCTTGCCCGACTTTTGCTATTTTTGTGGTGTGATAGGTCATTCTTCACATGATTGTGATGCACGCTATCTAGCTGCACAGGATGATAGCAGAGCCACCAGTGAGTACGGGCCATGGCTGCGGTTTGTTGGTTCAAAAGCTGGGGCTCAGAAGGGGAGGAAAGGCAAATCACCAGCTCGCGAGGATTCTTGCGGATCAAGCTCTATGAATTCGAAGGAGCGGGGTGTGGAGGAGACAAAGCAACAGTTGAGTGAGCAGACAAACCAGGATGGTTTCCAAAGTCAGGCAGCGGCGGAACAAACTGGGGATGCCGGCGGCCGAGCGTCGGCCACGGGATGTGCTCTTGGAATGGAAAGTAACAGTTGGGATCACTCCATTAATGATTTTCCTAAATCATCCCAAGGATCAAGGAAAAAATTAATGAGTGATGTGCTGAATAAAAGGAAACCGAAGGATTTGATGAATCAGAATTCAAGTGGAGCTAGATTCCAGGATTTACAGAAAGAAGTTACAAATATTCCTTTTTTCAAATGCACATGGTGATATGGGGATTTCCCTTTCTGATGATAAGAATGGGTCAGGGAGCAATTCTGAAAATAAAAAGCCCATTAATATTGTGAACTCTGGCCCAGAATCTTCCAATCCCACTTCAGTAAAAAATTGGAAGAGGATGGCCCGAAGCAAGAAAATCAATGTAAGTTCGCAAGTGATACAGATTCACACTGGCCACAAACGAGAGTGTCAGACCCTGATGGCTGAAGAACCGAATAAGAAGGGGAAACTAATTGCGGCAGATTTGGATTGCCTTTCAGATGTCCTGTTTCAAACGGCAGAGGCTGCTTGTCAGCCCTGCCGAGCACCATGAAAATTCTTTGTTGGAATGTCCGGGGGTTGGGGAACCCGAGGACATTCCGTGATGTATGTGACTATTTAAGTCATCTTAATCCCCTTATTTTATTTTTGTCTGAAACTAAATGTAATTCCAGTATCTTGAATAATTTAAAAGTTCGTTTGAATTATGCGGGTTGTTTTGTGGTTGATAGCAGTGCCAGAAGTGGCGGTTTATGTTTGCTTTGGAGCCAGGAGGTGAACATTTCAATCCGATCTTTCTCAAGGTTCCATATCGATGCATGGGTGGTGTGGCAGACAAAATCTTTTCAGTTCTCGGGAGTCTATGGTGATCCAAAGGCTCATACGATTTCTCACATGGGACCTCATTCAGAGACTTAATACGCGGTCTAATAACGCCTGGCTGGTAGGGGGAGATCTCAATGAGATATTGTATGATAGTGAGAAGTGTGGAGGTTCTGACAGAAACTATTCAGCAATTGAAAGATTCAGAGACACTGTGGACGATTGTTGCTTGCAGGATCTTGGTTTCTTGGGGCAAAGATACACTTGGTGCAATAGAAGGAAGAATTGTGACCAAATCAGCGAAAGGTTGGACCGTTTCCTGGGGAATGAAGAGTTTTGATGTTTGTGGAGGGAGTCATATGTTACCCATGAGGATTGGTCAAAATCGGACCATCGTCCGATTCTTCTAACCTTGGGAGGGATAACTAGGAAAATTCATAAACGGAGGTCTATCTTCAGGTTTGAGGAAGTCTGGACAAAATCAAGAAGGTGTGAAGAAATTATTGGTGCAAATGGGGATTGGGACTCCTCATCCCTTCTGCAAAACTTGAATCATGTTTAGCTAGTTGTGCAATTGCTCTGGGGAAATGGGGCAGAGACTTTAATAGAGGTTTCAAAAGGCAAATAAAGGAAACCCGGTTGAAAATTGCCCATATATATAAAGAACCTCCTCCTTGGGATTTTGCAGCCATTCATAGCTTGGAAAGGGAGCTTGACGACCTTCTTGAATCTGAAGAAATTTATTGGAAGCAGAGGTCTCGTGAAGACTGGTTGAAGTGGGGGGATAGAAATTCGAAATGGTTTCACAAGAAAGCTACAATAAGGAAAAAAGAGGAATTCGATCAGAGGCATCGAGGTGGAGGGAGTCTGACAGAGGAGCCAGAGTTGATTGAGCATCAATTTATTAGTTATTTTAAGGAGTTGTTTTCAACTTCAAATCCCTCACATGATGACATGGCTAAAGTGTTACAGTATATACCTTGCTCAGTAACGGGGGAGATGAACGAAAAGCTCATTGCTCCATTTTCCAGGTCTGATATTGAACGAGCTTTGAAGCAAATGTATCCCACAAAGGCGCCGGGTCCGGATGGTTTTCCAGCTCTTTTCTACCAAAAATATTGGGGACTTTTTGGAGATAAAACGGTGGACTGTTGTCTTGAGGGGTTGAATAGGAGGAAATCAATAAAGGATTGGAATTCAACGTACATTGCCTTGATTCCAAAGGTGCGGGAGCCGAGAGTGGTTTCAGATTTTCGTCCCATAAGCCTTTGTAATGTCTCATACAAAATTGTAACGAAGGTGTTAGCAAATCGTTTAAAGCTAGTTCTGGACAAAATTATATCAGATTGTCAGGCAGCCTTCATCCAGGGTAGGGTTATTAATGACAACATTATTATTGGCCATGAATGTATCCATGCCATGAAGAAGAGGAGTAAAGGAAGGGAAGGTCTAGCGGCACTAAAGCTTGATATGAGCAAGGCTTACGATCGGGTGGAATGGGTCTTTTTGAAGCAAATGATGCTGAAGATGGGTTTCAATGAGGACTGGATCGAGATCATTATGGACTGCATTAGTACTCCATCCTTTGTCATTATGATTAATGGGGAAGCAAAAGGGCATATCATCCCTCAGAGGGGCTTACGCCAAGGGGATCCTTTGTCCCCCTATCTTTTCTTAATCTGTGCAGAAGGCCTCTCAGCATCCCTTAAACATGCCCATGAGAACAACTGGATTTCAGGTATGTCGATTAACTCAAATTATCCCAGTATCTCTCATCTTCTCTTTGCAGATGATAGCCTAGTGTTTTGTAAGGCTAAAATATCAGAATTGTTTGCGATTAAACTACTTTTGCTGGACTATGAGAAAGCTTCTGGACAAAAAATTAACTTTGATAAGTCCATGATTTGGTTCTCTCCCAACGTGCATGATGGTTTTCGTAATTACCTTCAATCGGTGGAGGAAATGAGGTTGGTCCCAAATTTGGGAGATTATCTTGGACTCCCTTCAAGTATCTCTCGAAATAAACGTGGATATTTTAATTTTATTAAGGAGAGAGTGTGGAGGGCTGTCCAAGGGTGGAAAGGAAAGTTTTTCTCCGGAGGAGGAAAAGAGATATTGATTAAGAGTGTCGCCTAAGCTATTCCAACTTATGTCATGGGTTGTTTCCGTCTCCCAAAGATGTTTTGTTCAGATATCTCAAGGGACTTGGCTAAGTTTTGGTGGGGTACAAATGATGCTAGACAGAAAATCCACTGGATGAGTTGGGACCGCATGTGTTGGCCAAAGGAGCTAGGAGGTCTCAATTTTCGAGATCTCGTGATGTTTAACAAGGCCTCGTTGGCCAAACAACTGTGGAGGTTTCTGCAACTGCCTAATCTCCTTGTTTCCAGGGTTATTAGAGGAGTGTATGCATGTGAGGATTCTATTCTGACAGCAAAGGCGGACTACCACTCATCTTACTTTTGGCAAGGGATGGTTTGGTGTCGTGATTTGTTGGTTACAGGAATTAGAAAGGTGGTTGGAAATGGATCTTCAATTAATTTTTTCAAAGATCCGTGGATTCTGCGAGAGAACACTTTCAGGCCTTTAAGTCCCTGTCTTGATCCGTCCAGAATTCATTGGGTAGCTGATTTTATTACTTCCACTCAAAATTGGGATGTCCAAAAGCTCAGGTCCATAGTTGGAGAAGAAGATGTGGCTACCATATCTAATATTCCTATTAGTGCTGTGGGGGGTTTGGATAGATGGATGTGACATTTTACGAAGAATGGCTTCTATACGGTAAGAAGTGGGTACAAGTTAGCTATGAGATTGAATCTACCTTCCCAATCCTCTAGCTCTGACAAAAATGAGAGGTGGTGGAAGGATT